CATCTACAATGCCGCTGGTGATGTCAACAGCTCCCCAAAGTACGAGCAGATCTCGGCCAATGCCGTTTGCCTCAAGCACCAGGTATGTCTCTCGGATCACTCACAACCTCAATCCCCCACACAGATGCCACGTGTACCCAAGGACCACCTTGCGCCCCATCCAGCACCTCGCAGGCCAGCTCGGCTATGGCTGCCTGCGTATCCCTTGCTCGCCCGTGAGCGCGTGGGCGCTTGCCTGCCAGTAGCGCAGTATGTAGCAAGTGCCCGAATGCCAAAATGCGGGGGCAGGCACTTTCCTATATGGAAGTGGCCTGCCCACTGCGTGCGGCCTGGCTGCGCTGGGCCCCTGCCCAGAAGCTTCCGGTAGGCCCCAAGTGGCTGAGCCCTGGTCCAGGGAATCAGGCCCAGGGCCTAGAGCGGTTACCCGTGTTCAACTGCCCGCAGCCTGTGTTCGGTCCATGTTGTATCTCTGGCCCAGGGCCTGCCTCAGATACATCTGAAAAGGCAGCCAGGGCCTGGGGCGCTTTCAATCAACTGGCGCTGCGCAACTGCCTGAATTTTTCCCAGTTGTGTGGTAGTCCAAAATAGGCCTCTCGTCCTTGGTCGGGCCTGCCTTCACTTAGGGGCGGCCAACATTGCTGGACACAGGGCCCGGTAGGGCTTGTCGAGGCCTTATGCCTCGCAGTTGGCACGCACATCCTGTCCACACAGTGTGGCCTGTCCCGCATGAAGCCATCGGGTCCAATACTGCCGTGTATAAGCGGGGTTCCGGGGGTCGGACCTGGGGTGCGGCATCACCACGTGGGGTCCACTTGTAAATGAAATAGTTGTAATTGTGTGGCCTTGAGGAAGCCGCAACCCTAAGTTAAGCTCACGGCCAGCATAAAGTGGAAGGGGGGGCCAAGCAGGCCACCCAGGTAGGCCTGTGTCGGGGTACTGACTGGGCAGTTACCTGGGCGAGGATCCAGATTGGTAGGGGAGTTTATCTATCACAAGAGGTGTTCTTACCTTTTCGAATGATAATGGGAATGTATTACCTAGGGGTTGGTGAGCCCCAAATGAAGTGGGACTCAAGAACTTTGTGCTACAAGAATCCAAATGGGAATGCTATCTATCTGAGGGGTACTAACCTCATAAGAATGAAGAGTCCTTTTTTTTTTTTTTTTTGTTTTGAAAAGTCCTATGGATGCTTATGTAAGTTTCTTCTATAACTGCTGTGAGCAGAACCAGGAGGAGGGTATCTCCCTGGTCTTCATGTCTCTGAAAAAGAGCTGGCCTTAGGGACACCTACAAAGATAGCAAAAGTTATCGCTGTTTATCCAGACCAGGAAAAACCCACAGGAGTTGTGGGAGGGGCGATTGTCTTTGCAATAGAGATTGTTTTAGGAAGTAGAACTCCAAAGGGAAGGATCTATAGAATGTTTCCTGCGGAGTTGGATGAACTTAGTGAGCAGCTGAAGGAACCGATTGATAAGGGATGTGCAAGGATTCAGGTCCTCGGCCGAACCAGAAACGGCCCTGCCCGCCCTAAGTGAAGGTGGGCTAGGAAAAAAAGACAGCTGAGTCAAGGCCATCGCAAGGGCCCCAGTCCAAAATGCAGGCCAGCACCTGTAACCAATTAGTGGGCTCAACTACATGGCTGGTTTCAGAGGCCGGGCCCTAGGTGCAGCCCAGTAGGCCCAGCCTTTCCACGCTGGGTCTGCCCGCGGCTCAGCCCAGTAGGCCCAGCCTTTCCGGGTGGGGCTGCCTGCGGCCTCCTGCATGCAGGGCCTGCTCGCAGTGAAACGGTTTTCACCTTTTAGCAGTGGCGGATGCAGTACCCAGGGTTCGATCCCTAGACSTCACCCTACCCATGTACAGTATCTGTGTAGACCCCGAGAATTGAACCTGTGACCTGTGTATTCGTAGGCAGTTGGTAGGCCTGTCGTAGGTCCATAAGCAGCAGGGGTTCGATCTGTAGGTCTATAGCGTAGGAGTCTTAGTGAGTTCCGGAAGCTTAGCTGTAGACCTTCTAGAAGGTAGGCAAGTGGGCAAGTGGTCAAGTGGAGAGGCAAGTGGTGGACTAAAAGTGCAACGGCAGTACAACGTCTGTAGGATAGCGGTAAGTCCACAGTCAGTCAGCGGAAGGTCCAGTCAGTCCCAGTCCAGTCCAGCAAGTACCACAGGGGGACTGTGAGCACCAAGGGCCGATGGCAAAGGGCAGACCAACGAGTTTCTGAAGTAGAAATCAAGAGGCAGCGCCCAGCCGTTCATTCATTCCGGTGTGAGCCATGCGGAAGCGCTGCCACAGCGACTTGTGCAAGGAGGTCTGCAGATGAGCCCGGAGGACGCAGTGGGCAAGAGAGAGGGAGTTAGTATAGYGATAGGTTAGATGCAGCGATAGCTGCCATAGCTGTAGTTAGTAGTGAGTGTGTGTGTGTGTTCGAGTGTTAGAGTGATGCGTGTGGGATATCCAGGGTGATCCAGTGTATGTGAACAGTGAGATGTTTGGGCGCTGAAGTTGCCATAGCCAATTGAGAGTGAACTCGTATCTGAAAGCCATATCTCCGAGTTTTGAGTGGGCGCATGTCGCCAGTATGCTGCGTTGCTGTTTACATGTATGAAAAGTGTGTTTGAGAACGAGTCTGATTGCAGCAGCCTCTGGAGAATAACAAAGGAGGAGAGGTCGGGCAGTCCAGTACATTCGGGCATTGAGACTGAGGTGGCCACGCTGCTGGAAGGGCCAGTGCTGCTCAGCGCCTGAAGGGAGGATGCTGCTGTTGGTGCAGTGAGGAGGAAGGACATGGGCTCCCGCCATAGCCAGGCTGAGCGCACCATAGCTGGATGGTGAGAAGTGCGGTGATCCTTGACGGAGAGATAGAGAGAAGGGCACCAGTGGGAACAAGGCAGGCTGTGTGACCAGAGTCTCCAAGTGGTATTGGGCGATTGACATGTCGACGGTTTGCTGGCATGTAGATAGGCTAGATTGGTAGGAGCTAGGGAATAGGATGGGCACTCAGGACGCCGTACATTGTCGTTGTATTGACGATTGGAGGTTGTGGAAGGCCTTTCTTTATCAAGAGACTCCGGTGTATTGCTTGTTCCTATCTGGTGTGCATTTCGCTTTGATTTCTGCTTTCAATTCGGCTCGATTATGTCTGGCCTTCTGTGAGATGTCGCAATCGGGTTTATGGCTGTTCTCATGGCATGTTTCCTTGCAGATGGATTAGGCCTATATTTTTGCATGTTGTTGCTTTGCATGAAATATGGTTTCAAGTTTTCAACAATCTATTGCCATAAACTCTTTTGTAGATAAAGTAATTTTTTTATTTCTATCCTTATTTTACTGTGCGCGGTCTCACAACCAGCTTCGATAGGCTTTCAGTTGAATCAGAGGAACGACCTTGCAATTATGCTTGGGCACGCTCCCCTGGCGCCGTATGAGGAATAGCTTGTAACATACTGAGGCCAGTGTGGATACAGGCTAACCCATACAAACACTCTTTCGTGTGTATTTATCATTCAATTCAATTTATTCAATTTATTCAATTTATTCAATTTATTCAATTTTAATTATTCAATTTAATCTCATCGATTATCTGCTTAATGCGGTGATCTATACACCGCTCTCTCTTTTTTAGATCTGGTATTGATTGGTCTATTGAAATCCAGCGAGAACTAGAGTATAAGTAAACGTCGGTAGAAGACCCGACCATCATTCTGGAACGGAGTAGAAGGACTGTGATGGCGTGATTTTTCCATACGTCTCTCCAATGTAATTTGTTCCGCGTTAAAACTCCAGATTACATTGTTTTTACGACATCTCTTTCAGTTGAATCAATCAAAGCCTAGTTGACATCACTCCTTTCTAAGAGCAGTATTAAACCACCACTATCTGTCCCAGTGCTGGGAAAAGCGGGAATATAGCCTTACCGCGTAGTTTGGGAGTTGGGCAGAGCGGCGGCCGCCGCCGTTGAAAAATATCATTGGCATCCGCCATTTCATTTCAACCTCCGAAACGTGTGGGGACCCACCTCGCAGCCGATATGGGGGAAAGGTAGTGGCAGTTTAACGCAAAGTTCAGTTTCTTGATTGTATATGGGAAATAGAAATACTGCTTTTCAGATATGTTATGCACTGTTTGGGATTGTGGTAATGTCTTTCGGCCTTCGCAACGTGCTGGGTACATTCCAGCACACACTGAATAGACTTTTCCATGACTACTTAAATAAGTCCGTGCTACGTAATTGTCTATCTCAATGACATACTTCTTTTTTAGTACGACTCTAGAGGAGCACACTGACTGAGCATCTAAAGATACTTGTGGAAAAAACAGTACACAATCAGTTTGGAGAAATGTGAGTGAAATCTGTAAGGATATCTCGGGGACCGTGGCCACCATTAGGGACTGTCCAAGACCACAGTTCGTGACTGATCTTATTTGACTTAGTACACCTTGGAAATGGAGTACTGAGTGCGTGCGGGCTTTCAAGCAATTGAAGGTTGCCCTCACCAACTGACCTGTTCTAAAAATTGTGGAACCCAATAAGCCATTTATTGTTACCACTGATGCAAGGCATTGCAAGCTGGTATGGAATACAGTAGAGCAACCGCAAGCCGTCCATCCTGAATTGACTTGCGTCAGTCATCAAACTTCTCAATAAGGGTTAGTGAGGAATATTGAATGGTAGTAAGGATGGATGGGTTTTATGGACGTCTTGTGCCCAACAACGAGGCCCTCAAGAGCTTGTTCCTTGGAGAATGTCATGACCCTACTGGCCTTGCGACCGTACTCCCCAGGCAGAGTGTTCAGCGCGTTAGCTAGGTCCCTCATCAAATTGCCCTCCCAAAACCACTGGGCGTAGACCAAGAACCAACACTCATCCTTTACGGCATGGACTACCAGGGTCATTTTGCATTCACGTGCGCTTTGAGTTAAAAAAAGGCATGCTAGTATGTTGCAGCGGTTCTGGTGGCCTGGTATGAAAAGGGATGTGCATGCGTACGTAGTTAAGTTACCAGGTTTTTGTCAAATGGACAAACTGCACATAAAAGCGCCATTACATTTGCTGAAGTCTCTGCCTATTCCGACGGGTCCAGGTCAGTCTGTGGCATTTCCAGCCTAAACACAGTTGACTAGTGTTTGGCATGTGCCTGAATGTACTACATTATTATACGGACTGACTATATCTGAGGCCAAAACATATCCCAATCAAGTTCATTGGGAGTGATGTAGTCCCCAAGTACCTACATACGTTGTTTTGATGTTCCCCCTCATCTTTGCGCTTACCCAGTCTTTAATGTGTCCAAGCTCTTGCCTTTTTCAAAAAGAGATCAGTTTCCTTCTCGCCTGTCCATGCTGCCTCCAACGATGGAAAGTCAAGTTGACTGAGTAGTGGAACACAGGTCCCTTCCGGTACCCAAGCCACCAGGCAGAGGAAGACCACCGAAGCTCAACTGCATTTCGGGGTTGACTTCAGACATCATAGCGATCCACGTGAAGACATGTGGTTTACAGGAGAAGAGTTGATTGAGTTTCACACTATGAGAATGTGGGGCAAGAGTGAGGCTATTGCAGAGGGCTTTCAAACATAAGGGGGTTGTGAAGGGTAGCAATGGCAAGAGTGAGGCTATTGCAAAGGGCTTTCATACATAAGGGGGTGGGAATGCAGGACCCTATGAGGCTAGTGCAGAGGACTTTCAAAGATAAGGGGGAGGGAATGCAGGACCCTGAGGAAGTTTGGCCCTAAGTGAAGGCCACGGCCAGGCCTGAAGTGGAAGGGAGGATCAACGCAGGCTGCCCAGGTAACTACGAGTTCGGCCTGTGTCTTGGGCACCGACAGGGCAGCTACCTGGGCCTGGATCCAGACCGGTAGGCAGCCCATACCTGCCCAGACCCCGGCCTCCCGACGAGATGAAAGGAAGGAGGCCGACGGGGAAGGGGATTGGGTAGCGGGTAGCATCACGTGGCAGCGCTGGAGGAGCGCCTGCGAGCAGGGGGCGCCCTTGAGGCGCAGTGCTATCTGCTGTTGGCTGCCGCCAAGGTTGAGGCGGCACAGTACAGGAAGGTGGCGAGCAGAAGGGGAGGTCATCGGGAGTGGAAGAAGACTGTGGCAACAGGTGATACTTACCTGGTGTATGGCGGGTGAGCACCTTTGTGATAAGACTCTTCAGCCACATCTGGCGAGAGGAGAGGGGCCACAGGGCGAGAGAGAGGTGGGTAGATGATAGGCTAGGTTAGGGAAGTAGTGCAGGTGGTCACGTCATAGCTTAGGGTGACTGATCTGTTCTCGGGCTTGTCAATTTTGTGTTCAGCTTGGCCTACTTACTCATGGTCTTCAATGAGCTCCCGCTGCCCAAAAAATTGTGTTCTCACATGCTGGTTCCCTGTGTAATAATATGACAATAAAATAATGATAAATAAAGTATGGCTACGCAGGAGCCGGACCCGCTCATTGCCGGACACAGGGTCCGACGTATGTCCGGTTCTGTCCGGATTTCTGTACTCCGGACATTTCCAGACTTCCGGACATTAGGGGAGGGGTCCAGACCGTCTGGACCGGTAAGCAGGTCCAGAAATGTCTGAACCGTAAAAAAAACAATTCAAAAAAATCTGAAAAAAGAGTATGTTACATGGAAAACGGTGGAAGAATAATACAAAGTTACAAACCACTTTTGCCTCACAGTCATGTCGGAATTCCTAACCAAAATAGGAAGGCTCAGTGTTTGCTACTAAATTAGGCTGAGTAGATGTATTTTTTGTTCAGCTCCCTTTGCCCCATCGAGCACAAGAATTTGGCGATTATAGAAGAGTGGCAGTTATTATTAGAGTGGAGTGATCCACTGGCGCTTTGTTTGATGTATTGTGCTGTGTGCTTGGCTGCTCTTGGTCCTTGCTCATTGCGATGTGGTGCTCTTGGCTGCTGCCCGTTTCCGATTGACTGCTTTTGCCACTCCCTCCTAATCCTTTTCTCTTCCTCTTCAGGAATGTTTCTCCTTCTTCGGAGGCCCTTCCTATTGTCCCCTTGGCCCCCCCAATATTACTTGACTCTCCTCTCGCTCCCTTGTCCTTCCTTTCCAGATACACTCTTTGTTTCCTCCTACCTCTGCCGTAGGAATGTGGGGGCGCTCATTTGGACCCTCCTTTGCTCCCTCTTCTCCCCCATATCCGTCACCCTCTATGGTCCGCTTTGGATTGTTGCTTATCCCTCAGCGTCTCAACGCGCCGTCGCCCAAAAATCAAGTGCAAACGAGGTTGCTCAACCTCATGTGCATCGCGATGCCAACTTATCTCCGGGGCGTTCCGTCGGACACAGTTCAAAAGAATCGGCGCATTAAACCACAAGTAACACGGTCCCAGCCTCGCAGACAATGAACTCGTCGCCCATCCAAAAATATTGGGGCTCGGGGCTCGGGGCTCGGGGCTCGGGCCTGCCGGATCACAACGGCTGGCAGCCCCAGCCCAAAAATAAAAGAAATGTGTCGCTGGGGGTTCGGCAAAGCTTGGCGTGCAGTGGAGGGCCTCCAGGTCCGGTGTACTGGTGGTTCAAGTTGGCAGAGTGCTAACCTGGCAGCGCTGCATGGTCCTTTGTGAGAAATGTGTGGTTGGCAAGGACATCTTGTCCTGTCTCTCAGATGTTCTTGAGGTTATTGGCTGGACATCCCACACTTTTTCTTTTGTTGCTGTCACAGCCTGTCAGAGCAAAAACACACCCTTATTGTCCTGGCTGAGGCTGGCTCCTTTATATTATGGGGAGCATCCTGTCCTGTTTCTTTGTTGTCAAATTTTGAAATTTCTGTGTTTCCAGGATGCGTCTTCCCGATCAGTATTCTGAATTTCCTGAATTTTCTGGATCTGTGGCCTGGATGTTTGTTCTGGATGCTTTCTGGGTGGTGTGGTCGATCCCAGCCTGAGGAGGAGTGTGACAAGGAGTCGTTCTCAGAGAGGTCAGTAAGTCGAAACTTTTTCATGCAATCGCCGGAGTCCTGTTGTTAGTGCTTCTTGTTCGGTTTCACAGCAGCATGATGAAGCTTTTGACTCAAGACTCAAGAGTGTTATGTCAAGTAGAAGAGTGCTTCCAATTTTCAGCCTGTAGGCATGAGGTCAGACGGTTGAAAACCTCATTAGGGATGTGCTCTTCGGTCTTGTGAGCTGTGGGCACACACATCATGTGCCTGTTTCTGGGTGGTGGGGTGGGTGGTTGGTTGGTTGGTGAGGAAACTAAAAGTCTGCCGGAATGCAGTCATTTCACACAGTGGAAAATCCCATGCAGTAAGTAGGGCATACCAGTACGCCCCTCCAAGTGTCTCCCTACATGGTCTTTTGCACTCAGTGGCTCGCTGCAGAGAAATACCTGCATCGATGATCTTCAAAAAGCAGGAAGATATCGAAAAGGAAAAAAAAAACATGATGGTATGGGGCTCAGAGTCTCAGACTCTTTTGTGGCTGCCTATCGTAAGGACCTCACGCCATGCATGACGTGCATCTCTGCAGCGTATGACCTGCTGTGAGGCAACGTGTGCCACGCCATGTTCTCGTTGACAGGCCCAGGACGGGCCCAGAATGATGCTTTGGTCAAAACTTGAACCTTTGTGCAAATAATATGTTGTACTACTGCATTGCTGTCCCTGTAATTCTTAGGCCTTTTGTACCGTGGTTACGGCAGGGTGCCTGGTCTTGCTTATCATGTCCCCCCCTGAAGTGTAATCCCTTTATACTTAACCTTTGAGATATTTCCTGGTGCTTGATGAAGTTGGTTCCATCTTGGTTTGTTCTTTTTCCCATGGTGTGTATCTAACTTGCATGGCATGGACTGACCAGTTTGGGATATGCAGAGGGAAACCCTTATCCTGTGATGAGGAATCCGATTTAGAATTTAAGACCTGGTTGTAAGGCTATGTAAGCAGACTGGTTTTGCCAGTTTTTTTTGGGGGGGAAAGGGAAGAGGTAGCAGGGGGACTGTGGGGGGAAAGGCCGCATGCTATTATCGTGAAGAGGTATTGGGAATGCCAACTCAGAACTCTAAAAGTCTTGAGGGACTTAGTCCGATATCCCTAATGTTGCTAGTTGAGAGGGGGAGGCCCGCGAGTGGGCGCACGCTCACTCGCCGACTATTCTGAATTGCAAATTTTATATATGAACTGCTATAAAGGAGGGTGGAGTTGCGGTAAAGTATAAACACTTTAAAGTTTAAAGTGTAAACAGTGTAAATAAAGTGTGTACACTGTATAGTGCTATACACTGTCAAGTTGTGAAGCTTTAAAGTTTAAACTGAATGCAATGAGAATATCAAGGTAGGAATGCCAGACCTGACAAATCTAGCATGAAAGTGCCAGCAGGCTGCAGCTAAAAAACATGCAGGCTACTCACGCATGTGAATCATCATATTAGTATATATTACATAGTTATTTTTAATATTTTATTATTTTATCAATTCTTGATTCTTATGTGTATATTTGAAAGTTGAAACTTTTTTTCTGAATGTTCGCATTTCTGGATTGTGATATATTATGGTCTTGTAGATTTGCATCTTTGTACGTGCACTATGGTTTGTTGCTTCCTCAACGTTTTGATTGGTTGTGTTCCGTCATCTCCCTCTTGTCTTCCTTGTCCTCGCCGTCCCCTTCCTTGCTCCTCCTCCTCCCCCCGCCCCGTTTTGGTCCGTGTGCAGTGCAACGTGGAATGTTGAAGCCAATTCGAGGAATGAATTTATGCTAGGTGTGCATTTATCTCCGCCGGACCTCCGCCGATTTCTATTTGCCCCTATTGTTGAAGTTGCCCTTCCATTCTCTCTCATTGATCTGACTCTCTGCCTCTGCTCTTCTCAGTTTGTCCAGTCAACATATATTAACCATGGGTTAGGATTCTTAGGAACACCTGCGTACTCGGCGGGCGGAGAGAGACCGTAAAGGCCCGACTCTCCCACGACTACCTGCCTACTACGCAGAGGCAGTGCTGAGTGTAACACACTCCCTGGGGCCTGGGCCATGCACACATGGTTAGATAATAGATATGTGTACCATTCAGCCAACCGATCGTGCATACTACATAGTCGATGTCTTTAGTGTGGACCGGAACTCTTGACATTATGGCATCCATCAGAAAGTGGGACCCCATCGATTTTTTTTTTTACGGGTCCAATAAATGGCAATAAGGTTATTAGCTACACCCTCAAACCACCAACCAGTACATGGTCCCACCCAGCGTTGCAGAAATTTATTCGTTGCCTAGTCTGAAAATTTGGCGGCCGGGCCTACAGGACCACAATGGCTGGCAAAAGCGCCAGCCGAAAACGAAAAAAGGTGCACCGCTCCCGGTTCCGGACAGCTTGGCACGCAGTGCAGCGCCTCCAGAAGGCAAAAAAATGAAAAAGAAGGTTGTGGGTTAACCAGGGTTGATTGAGGCAGTGCGCAAGATGTTTGTTAACCATGGGTTGAGCCTGTAGTTCAAGTGGCCATCACTCACACAGTTCGCTTTGAGACTGGAGAGCTGTTCTCTCCGACCTTTACAACAGGCCACATGTGACATCTTCCTTTTTGTTTTGCCAAAAAAAAAATAAAAAAATACAGAGCCTTAGGATGACCTTGGGTGATTTTCCAATCTGGGGAACATAAGTACGGTTTCTATCCCACTGCCAACTTGCAAAGTCATAAAACTTAAAATTACAAGCCATACTCACTCCATCGCTTCTCTCCATTATGGTTGAGAGACCTGAGTGCGCAGCATTGATTACTTCCTTTGGGAAGAATGTACCTTGGTGCGCCACCTTCCTTTCTGCCGCGGGACTCCTCAAAAACTCAAAAGAATGCTGCTCCCTGTACTAGGGTCATTAGGAGATATATTGAAAATGAACTTTAATGAAGTTCATTTGCACTGGGGCCTCACAAGGTGTGTGTATTCTAAGTTCTAACTTCTAACTCACAATGGCCAAAGGGTCCCAAACACAAGGGGTGAGGTCCCACTAGCAACTCGAATCGGATTGAAAGTCCGAATGAGGACGTGTTTGTGGCCAGGTGCAGAAAGACGTGATTGATCCGCTTTTCTGCATCCCTTGTGAAACACGTCCAGATTCAGGCGCTTAATCCAATCCTCTTTGCTAGTGGGACCTCGCCCAAGGGGAAAGGAAGCCGAACGTGGAAGGAAAGACACAACCTCTTTTTTAGTTGTTTTATCCTCCTCATTTTAGTTCCTAGACGAAGGGAAAAGACAAAGGGAAGGTACATACTGTATACTATATACCATACACTATATACTAGTATATAGTATATACCTGTCTCGTCCTTTTGGCTAAGATCCAGCGTAGTATCTGTTCCGATCAGTTTAATATCTGATCCGTGGTCCATCAGACCCCATTTAAAAAAGAAAAAAGAAAAAAAAAAAGAGAGAGAGAGAGAGGAAAAGGGAAGGTGTGTATTTGGGTAGGAAGTACCAGGAACCGATGTATCTGAAGGAGCGGCCAGTAAAGGAAAAGAGGGACTGAAACAAACTTTTCAGGGTGTTATTGGGGCAAACCAAAACTAACTCTTCAGGGTGTTAGTGGGTGAATAGACTCAATTTGGAAGGAAAAAAAAGAAAAGAAAAGAAAAGAAAAGAAAGGACTCGAAACCAACTTTTCAGGCTGTCAGTGGGCCAAAGATAACTCTTTCAGTTTTCCACTCGAGAGTGGCGGACGAATCAGAGGGCTCACTGTATAGGTGTGAATTTGTGAAATGTTCCTTGGTTTTCAGAAAGCATGAAGTTTTCCGTTTTTAAGGGGGGCGGGGGGCGGGGGGCGGGGGGCAGGAGTAGGGGTGGGGCGGAACTTTTTCCAACTTTTCCGTTACATGGACACATATAATTGCAGTGTTTGTTGAAAATTATATAGGCCAGTAGTTGGAGTCCATTGAACCATTAAAAAATAAAAATCGGAAAAATCATAAATGCCAGTGGTCTCTCGACAGTACTAAGACAGTTTCGTGATGTGGAACGACAACAAAATATCAAATCTGTGTGGGAACTTTTCGACTTCCTTTTGTGAGATGAGATATTGGCGAAAAAAAACGCCCCCTCGATCTCCTCTTTTGAAGGGCATATTTTATCCAATTTTGGCAAAATACTTGAAAATAGTAAAAAGGACTTGCTGCCATTTGTTGGACGTTAGGTAACAGAATACCACAGAGGATTCTGGTAGGCATACTGTGCATCGAAGCCTGCGATAATTTTGAGTGATGTCATCAGTTTTCCTGGCTTCCTGGCTCATCATCAACACGTAGCAACAGAATGACCGCTCAGGTGTTCCTTCTTTTTCCATTTGCAGTACAGCAAATATATTTGTGAAACAAGTGGCTAGCCTGGCCTAAATGCTGTGGCTTGTTGTTGGATTTTATTTTATTTTTATTTTTTTCTGAAAGTTGTAGCTGCGATCTTTCGAAGTGCAGAGTGCCCGAGCAAAATAGCAAGATGTTGTCTACCTTCTTTCCTTGAAGAGAGATTGCTCTTCCAGCTCTATTTTTGATGCCCCTTAGTTTCTATGGGCCAGGGATTTTGGGCACCGCATCTCGGCGACGCTCCCTCCTTAACCCCTCTTTCGCCTGTGCTTCTCGCCCACCAGTCTTCCTGCCTTAGTGCTCGAGTGCTTTTGCTGCCAATTTCGCTTTCCACGTGGCGGAGAGGGAGGCCTAAAACCTATTGCAAAGGCAAATTATGTCAGCTGCAGAAGAGGGAGGAGAAGGGGAGAAGAGGAGAGGGGAAGGGGAAGGGGAGGGAGAGGGAGGAGAAGGGAGGAGAGGAGGGGAAGGAGAGGGAAAAAGAGAAAATGTCATTCGTGGAAGATGCTGGTGTTGCCACCAGGCTTATCTCGCAGCCCGGTCTGCCAAGCCGAGGACTTATCTCTCTGCCTGATCTCTTCTTGTAGCCATAGCTGTCATGCTTCTTCCTGGGTCAGCATTTACTCTATTTCCCTGTGCTTGGTTCGGGCAATGCTCCTTCTGCTTGCTGAGGCTATTATGATGCACTTTTTGTGTCGTGCATGCACCATCATGGACTACATCCTGGCAATTGGAGAGGCGCCTGGTTGCGGGACAGTACCACAACGAACAAGCAGAAGCAGGGTTGGAGAAAGGTATGGTTGGTACCTCTTCTCTTATTGGTACTGGCTTCGGGAGAGTTGGTGGGAACTCATGCTGGTTGGCATCGGTTAGAAAGAGGGTTTGCGCTCTTCTTCTGCTGGTCAGTACCTCCTCTCTTATTGGTACTGGCTTCGGGAGAGTTGGTTGGAAATCATGCCGGTGTCTACACCAGGCTTATCTCGCAGAGCCTGGTGTGTCAAGCCAAGGACTTATCTCTCTGCCTGATTTCTTCTTGTAGCCATAGCTGCCAAGCGTCTTCCTGGCTCAGTCAGCATTTTCCCTAATTCCCTGTACTTGGGCTCCAGAGAGTTGGTTGGAACTCATCTCATGCTAGTTGGGGCATCGGTTAGAAAGAAGGGTTGCAATCTCCGGCACGGCCTGACACTGCTGCTCTTCATGGACCCATTCTTTTGCAAACTGCACTTTCCTAAGGAGTTGCTTTTTTTTTTCGGTCCAATGGATCACGGATCGATATTAAATTGATCAGAACAGCGGGAGTCGCTATTTCTGACTTCTAAGTTTTAAGCCCATCTTGCATTATCTGGTTGTTGGTCTCTTTGAGTGGTGGGCTCAGTAGAGCTTGATAAGGGGGAGGAAAAGGATTTGCCAGACTTGCTTTTCTCCCTGTGGCGACACGTATGGATGGACACATATGCTCTCAAGGTCGAGTGCCATAATGAGGACACGGGGGAGGGATGGGGGAAGAGGGGGGAGAAATACACAGACAGGAGTGGCAGGTGCCATAGGTACGTGTTGTCGCCTGGTTGTTTGGCAGTCTCAGATACAATGTGCCGTGAGTGAGATTCTCAGGAGCCTTTTTTACGGAGCACGTGGCACCCATAGAAGGGGGTCAGAGTGCTGTAGAGAGTGCTATTTCTAGTATCACATAGAAGTGGGCAGTTGCAGGCTCGTGTAGTTGACCCCCTTCTTCGGGAAGGCGGGAAGTGCCTAGTACTGTCTACTAGCCCTCGATGTTCTGAAATTATGTCTTACGCAGATGGCTGTGTGAGCACCTCCCTCAGATGCATGGAGCCTTGCACATTTTTCGAAGGTTGTCTGTAACGTGGGATACCGTATGCTAGCATGAGAGATTCACACACGGAGAGAGAGAGAGAGAGAGAGAGAGAGAGAGAGAGAGAGAGAGAGAGAGAGAGAGAGAGAGAGAGAGAGAGAGAGAGAGAGAGAGA